ACAATCTTCAGTTTTGTAGATGGTAAGCAATTTGAGCTTATACAGGGTTGTGAATCAGCTAAGGAGGCTTGGGATATACTACAAAATGCGTTTGAGGGTACTGCAAATGTTAGGAGGATAAGATTGGACTTGCTAGCATCACAGTTTGAAAATATAAAGATGACTGATGATGAGAAGATAGGAGACTTCAGTGCCAAGCTCAGCTCCATAACCAATGAAGCACAAGTTTTAGGTAAAAAATATGAAGATGCAAAATTGGTGAAGAAACTATTGAGATGTTTACCTACTAAGTTTGCAGCACATAAAGCAGCAATAACATTGACGAGGGACACTGATGAATTAAAGTTCGCTGAGGTAGTAGGGATTTTAAAGNCAGTGCCAAGCTCAGCTCCATAACCAATGAAGCACAAGTTTTAGGTAAAAAATATGAAGATGCAAAATTGGTGAAGAAACTATTGAGATGTTTACCTACTAAGTTTGCAGCACATAAAGCAGCAATAACATTGACGAGGGACACTGATGAATTAAAGTTCGCTGAGGTAGTAGGGATTTTAAAGGCTGAGGAGATGGAATTAGAATCTAAGTTGTCAAAGCCTGTTCAAAATTCAAGAATTTCAGTTGATGGGGAAGACATCCAAAGAACTCAAAAACTTGAAGAACCTATGCACCTAATGATTCAGAAACTTGAAGAAACCATGGATCTTTTGTATAAGATGTCCAACAATAGACTGCCTAGAGAAGAAGAAAGACATAGAAAGCAAGAAGTGCTGTGTTTTAAATGTTATGGTATTGGACATGTCAAAACAGATTGTCCATCATTCAAGAGAAAAGAAATCAGGTGTAACGGATGTAATGGTTATGGACACATAAAATCAGATTGTGTGAACACAAAGAAGATGAAGATGAAGATAAGTTGCAGTGATAAAAAGTCAGAAGGAGAGGAAGAGGCTCTCAACTTTGTGGCTCTTCATGGAGTTCTAGGGTCTGTAAAAGACATCACTAAAGTTGAAACTCGTTCGTCATCTGTGTCACACACCAATTCTGATGTGTCACACAGTGATACAGAAAGTGATTTAAATGCAGATCTTTTTGCTGAGTATCAGGTTCTCTTTGGTCAATTTGCTAAACTCAGTGAAGAAAATATGCAGCTGATCAAAGATAAGGTAAGGCTGGAAGCACAAGGGAACATTCTAGAGTCTGAAAACAACAATAAATCAGAGATTGGGATGTCAAAAGAAGAGAAAGAATATGATCTACAGAGTCTACATAAGACAATCTCTGAGCAAGCCTACAATCTAAAGAGTGTGGAGACCAAATATGAGCAGACGAAACAACTACTGAATGAGGAACTTGAGAAAAATCAGCTGTTGCAAAGAGAACTCAGTGAAAATTACAAAAAGTTAAGGATGTTGAATAAAGGATCTGAAACTTTAGATCATATTTTATCACTTGGACAATCTCCAAAGGTGAACTGGGGTTTAGGTTACAAGGGTGCTGCTCCAAAAAATAAGCTAGTCCAGTCAATGTTATCAACTTTGAAAAAAGGTACTGCCTCTCACCCTGAAAGTAGTTCAAAAGTCGAGAAAACACATACATCTGCACCTGTGGAAAAGGAACATAAGGCTCAGACAAAAGTTCACCCTCCCAAATCTGCAATAACTCGGAGGAATGGATGTTTGTTTTGTGGGAATCATGGTCATAATGTTTCGTTCTGTTATTCTTAGAGAAACCAGATTGAGAGAGCTTGGAGGATGAACCTTTGTTATGTGGAACCCAGAAGGTACGGATATGTGTGGATAGCTAAGAAGGATCTGTATCCTAAGTTTACGAAATGTGTGTCACACAAGCATACCAGTGTGTCATACACTCGAATGGATGATCAGTATACTGAGCTTGAAGAACCAATTCGATGGTCTAGGAGGTATTGAGAGTTTTTGATGTCCAACAAGTATTATGAAGTTTTCACAGAGTTTTTCACTCAAGCAGGCGGAGATGATACTTGATTTCAGGGGGAGTTTGAAATTTATTTTGATGGGATGTACAGTGCACATTATGCTTAGAGATTAGTGAGCTTGAGTTGTAAAACTCAGTGAAAAAGGGGGAGAATGTAAGTTCAAGAATGTGGAGCTTGAGAAGTTGCTGCAGTGGTGGAGTTTTGGTTCGCGTACTTGTGTTACACACAGAGAATGGTGTGTGACACACACTTCGGAAAATAGGAAAAGGAATCATCAAGATGCGGTGATGTGGAATATTTCTATATGTTTGGTTGACGAAATTAGAAGATTTATGATGCTAAAATATAGGAAAATAATATATTAGATAATAGAAAAAGATTAGTTAATAGATATTTTGGTTTTACCTAATTTGGGGATTAGGGTTTTTCACGTTGTAATTCTCGGAGGGAAACACAAAGGGTTTTGGGGTTTCATAGCTGAGTGAATTGGTAGGCTTGATCAACAGGTGTTGAGGCAAGCAACTTGGGTGTTTTAGGAATCGATCTGTGGCGAGTCGTGTAATTCGGATCAAACAAATCTGTAAGAGATTGTGTAAAGGATTTCTAATAAAAGAGATAAGAGTCTTTTGGAATTACTGTGTGTACTATATTTCTCGCTGTATCTCGATTCTACAGAGACATCCACCAACCCAACATTTAACAATGAGTAAATCTGGATTGGATACTTCCACATCATAATCAAATTGATCTCTCACTGTAAGAAGTTTCAGTCGTCTTTCCAACTCAGCTTTACTCGGGTATCGTTGCCCAACAGCAAGGTTTAGCGAAGACATCTCCAACCTTAGAACCTCTGAATCCCCCTTAGATCCGGTCCAATTTTAAGAAGTTTCAGACGACTGAGATCTCTTTTTAGGCGGTAGTGTTGGTGAATCTTCGTCTTGTGCTGGAGACTCACCATATGAGCTAAAGTTATCATCTTCGGATGACACACCATCTGAGTCGTCGAACATATCAAATCGGCTATCAAATTCACTGTCTTCTTCGCCTTCTTCATCTTCTCCAACATCTTTTTGTTTTTCTCCGTCCAAGATATTAGAGAAGGTATTCTCATTGTCGTTATGTTCCTCCTCCAAACTAAAACCATCGTATCTAGATTCAACTTCTGAGACTTCTGCTTCTGAGCTGAAACTGTATAATATACTACTCTTCTCTCCCGCTCCGTCTTTCCAGCTGATCTCATCATCCTCGTTCTCTGTAATCTCTACACAGAGACGTAATCTTTCGGTTTTCCTTAGGCTTAAAAATATTTGCAATTGACGAGTATTGGAAATGTAAACTGGTGGCTTGTCGTGAGACATTGTTTTCAAAGCTTTATTTGAGAACTGGTAGCTTAGCTGAATCTGATGGCTCGACTCATTCAATCCGTAATCATCGAGTACTGACTTTGCGAGTTTGTCGTGTGTTGTTTTCTCATCTGCATGCAGAACAATACATCCTCTACTGTCGGGTGTGAATACATATCTGTATTTCTTAATCCAGTTACCTGAAACAATAATTACTGGATCCATAAGATTTTAGAGAAGAAGGTGAAGAACAGATAGCGGCGTCTGTAACATAAACCATAATTTCGTTGTTGTAGTTAGTAATGACATGGAAAATAAAAGCTGACATGGATGATGACATGGAAAATCAGTAACTCAGCCACCAAACAAACATTTAAGTCAGCCACAATAAGTCAGCCACTTAATACACCGTAAGTCAGTCAAAACGTGAATACTATTTTAGTAATAAACTTTTTTTTAACAATCAGCCATAACAAAGATGAAACGCAAGAAGTCAGTTGTATCGTTAAATAAACCAGCCGGCAAATGAATGCTATTCTAGTAATTAATTTTTCGCTAAAAAGTCAGCCGTAAATCAGCTGAGTTTACTGTTACTCCACTTTACTACGGCTGATTAAATATAACTCAGCTGTAAAAACATCTCATAACTCGGGCTGTTGACGATCAAATAACCAGCCGCGATAGTTAACTTAGGCGTATGGTAATTAGAACTCAGTCAGATTTTCCAGGAACCAGCCTAAGGATGTATAAGTCAGTCGTAATATCTGACCGTAACTCAGCCGTTATCACATAAACCAGCCAGATTTTTTTAAGTCAGCCATAACGATCGACTGAGTTATGTTCATAACTCAGCTTATTTCTCAAAAGTCAGCTAGATTATTTAAGTCAGCTAGATTATTTAAGTCAGCCGCAACGCACCTATATCTCGGCCGTAAAGAAGTTCATATACTATTGCGGCTGAGTTTTATGCCGCATTCTTACGTGGAGTCAATTTTTTGCCTACGTGGCACAAAAAAGTAATGGCATTCTTGTAAATACGTTTTTTCTCACAACGTAAAAAAAGGGCACGCTGTGTATTAAAAAAAGATAATAATAAAAAAAAAATTTCCATGGTTGTAATAATAATTAATAAAATTCATACTAGTTGAGTTAACTTCCCTAAATTAAGACGCATACCAAATTAAACAATATTTTGCGTTGCTTATATTATATTCTTTTTTTTTTATTATCTGGAGGTTATGAGGACAAGGTCCATAATCTCTCATGTCTAAGATCTGGTGGGCATTGATATTATGGGGACAACCCATGGCATAAAGCATACATCCTACGTTAGATCAAACCCAGGAACGCAACAACACTAACGCATGCGCAACCAATTGGACTAGCGAGCTTTGATATCATGGGGACAAAACCCATGGCATAAAGCATCCATCCCACGGTAAATCGGACCCAGGAACACAACAACACCAACGCATGCGCTTAAATCAACTGGACTACCACATCCGTGGTGCTTATCTTATATTCTTTGGACACTCGTATCTGCAAACTAAAATGTAAGCATACAAATTCTGACTCTTCTAAAAGTGAAAATATTGGGAGAAGGTTACATCTTATAGGCCACTAAAATATGGTAAGATTATTACATATGCACATATATATATATATATATATATATATATAATTTAAATTCGAAGGTCTTGTATTTAGTGTCCAACACCAGGACTAGGACCAGACTCGTCTCTGACTCGTCCAAAGGTCTTGTATCCCGTGGCTCGATGATGACCAACCCCTGGGCTTGGTCCGGACTGTTTCACTGTGGCTAGCCAAGAAACATCTTGCACAGATGACTCAACTGGTTTAAGCTTAGACATTACGCTTCCATTGTACACAGGTGAATCTCTCAACTGGGCCAACGCTGTCGAACCATACTTGACCGGTCGTCCTTCAGTGGCTAGTAGAACTGATCCCACCAAAATTATCAGAACAAGGACCAATACTACGTAATTCTTGTTGCGGTTCTTAGCCATGACCATGATTTATGTAGTCGTAACACGAATATATTTTTACCAAAAACACACGAATATATTAATCTCTATATGTATTTATATGATGATCATGATAAAGTTAAGGAGTATTTATAGTGTACAAGAAAGATGAGAGTGTGAGGGAATAATATCAGTGGATGTCTAATTTTTGTTTTTTGGAACTGTTGATTTGCCGCCACCTCCATATATTTCAACAAGGAGAGATCATATTCACGAAACTAAAGTATTGAGTTGCGCTCACGTAAACTAAAAGTACGCATTGAGTTTGGCTACAACCACAAAAGATTATTGACATTATACAGTGACGTTGATGGTAAGAGCACCTCCAGTCTAAGAACCTCTTTCAGAGTTCTCAACAAGATAAAAACTACTATCTCCGTTTCCATTTAGTTGTCACTGTAGAATACATTTTTTTGTTTTAAAATAAGTGTCGTTTTATAATTTCAATTCAAAATTTATTGAGTTTATAAGTTATTCTATATTTTATTAGTTGAAATGTGGTTAGGTGTTTAGGTAATAGTGTTTTTACTTCAAAAATACACAAAATTAAATGTTTTCTTAATCTGTGTACACAAACTTAAAACGAGAACTAAAATGAAGTGGAAAAAAGTAATAGATTTAAATATAATTAAGTTAAATAATAAAATTTGTGTATTTTTACAAAATCTGACTAAGAGTAAGTGGGCAAGTGGCTTTGGATTATTTGGGTGTTCTCACAGTTTCTCTTTGAGAAATGTGTTCTACTCTCTCTCATTTCTTGCTATGTTTCTTTTAGCTTAGATACTCTTTTTAGATACTCATGGAAATAATCTTAGTGAAGTTAGGTAGATTTGATTGATTTTAAGAATCAAAAGATTTGTTTAATTTATAAAAAGTTATAATGAGTTTTTCATATTTAAGAAGTCTATGAAACTATTCTAAAAGAGTGTTAGTGGGCATAAGATTTATAATGATTATTAGAATTTTCAAGTCTAGTGTTATTGGTTTATTTATTCTTACATTCTCATTAAAATCTAATGTTAATGGTTTGATGATTTAATAGTTCTATAAAAATATTTTGTTATTCAAAAAGTTTAGATTTTAATGATTCTACAAATCTATTAAAGTAAGTGTAATTGGAAGTTATATTCTTAACAATTTAACTTACAAAAGAAGATTTTGAGAATACTATAAAAAGGGTGTTCGTGGAGTTATATTTATATAGAATTTGTTGATTTTAAAAATTGATGGATTTGTTAAATTTGGGAAGAGTTGTAGAGAGTTTTGTATATTGTGAAATTTTGTGAAAAATAAATTGATATAATGATTCTATTCATTTTTCTAAATGACGAACTCAAAAATAATTTATTTTTTGTTCCCTAAATGGTTTCTAATGTCAAAATGACAAAATAAATCCACTACAGATGTAAATGAAAACTGTATTTGTATTTATACTTTTACTTAACTTTTATTAAATCTGTAACGTAAATAATATTAAAATTCGAAAGATAAAATAAAATTTATTTTTCATAACATTTTTTCCAAAGAAATTATGTCCAAGCTTGTTTTTGTAAAAGGTTATTTTCGTAAAAAGGAAGTTGTTTCTTGGAAACTTTTTTCTTAAAAGTAGTTTAGGAAAACATTTCTGAAGATATATATATATAGTATCTTTGAAAATTGGTAAAAAAAAATATAATCCAAAAATGTTTTTTTAAACATGTAACTAAATTTCTTAAATGTAACATATATATATATATATAGGAAGATCTTGCTAAACGGGTATATGACAATCTTTCTCAGGTTGACGTATATGCATATTTAGGAAAAACATTATTGAACTAATATTATTTTCTAAAATTTACGAAAATAGTTTTAAATATGTATAATATATTTAAAAATTTAGATATCAAATATATGAAAGTTTTCCTAAAACTTTATGAAGATATTCTACATATTTGAGAATCTCTTACTAAATACACATGTAATTCAGACTCAATAAGATATTAAGAATGTATTTTAAATATATATTAATTAAAGTTTCTAAATTTTATGAAGATATTTTATATACTTATCAATCTTTTCCTAAATTTTATGATGATTTATACATATTCAGTATTTTTTACAGAATATGAATATAACTCAAATTTACGAAGATATCATATACATTAAAAGATCATAAACTATTTTTAAGAAAATATTTTTTTTAAAAAAAATATTTTGAAAATAATTCGTTTAAATAAATTTTCGAACAAAACAAAATATTTGTTTATTTTATATAGTTTTAGGAAATAGATACAATTCTCATTTATTTTCATCAATGAAACCTAATTTGATCACATTAAGGCTATTTAAAAACATATTATTCTAGTTTGAGGACAAAACATATATTAAGACTATTTGAAACCATTTTTATAATTTATATTTTAGTTTATTTCATAATTAATTTTAGATATTAAATTATAATATATATATATATATTTGGCCTCAAATTTATATACGTCTATTATAGTAAAAATGCATTCAAATTCTTATACTTTTAATATTTGTATTTTATAACTTTTTCATCAGAAAATAACTAAAACAATATTAATAAAATATAAAAAACTATTTTAAAATGAAGATATAAATATTAATTATAATAAATATCTTTATAAATAACTTATTATAAGATTAATAATCATTTGTAATATAATTATTAATAATAGTAATTATTTAGAATAATTTTATTTTATTAAATACCTATGTAATTAATATCATGAAGTTGAACATGAACATGGTTTATATGAAATTTAACTTATGAAATAATACTATTAAAGTTTGTAAAGTAAAATTTATTTGTTTTCACCATCAAGTTTTACTGCATGTTAATATAGCGTGATGCCTATAGAATTTGTTGATTTTAAAAATTGATGGATTTGTTAAATTTGGGAAGAGTTGTAGAGAGTTTTGTATATTGTGAAATTTTGTGAAAAATAAATTGATATAATGATTCTATTCATTTTTCTAAATGACGAACTCAAAAATAATTTATTTTTTGTTCCCTAAATGGTTTCTAATGTCAAAATGACAAAATAAATCCACTACAGATGTAAATGAAAACTGTATTTGTATTTATACTTTTACTTAACTTTTATTAAATCTGTAAAGTAAATAATATTAAAATTCGAAAGATAAAATAAAATTTATTTTTCATAACATTTTTTCCAAAGAAATTATGTCCAAGCTTGTTTTTGTAAAAGGTTATTTTCGTAAAAAGGAAGTTGTTTCTTGGAAACTTTTTTCTTAAAAGTAGTTTAGGAAAACATTTCTGAAGATATATATATATATATATATATAGTATCTTTGAAAATTGGTAAAAAAAAATATTATCCAAAAATGTTTTTTTAAACATGTAACTAAATTTCTTAAATGTAACATCTATATATATATATATAGGAAGATCTTGCTAAACGGGTATATGACAATCTTTCTCAGGTTGACGTATATGCATATTTAGGAAAAACATTATTGAACTAATATTATTTTCTAAAATTTACGAAAATAGTTTTAAATATGTATAATATATTTAAAAAATTAGATATCAAATATATGAAAGTTTTCCTAAAACTTTATGAAGATATTCTACATATTTGAGAATCTCTTACTAAATACACATGTAATTCAGACTCAATAAGATATTAAGAATGTATTTTAAATATATATTAATTAAAGTTTCTAAATTTTATGAAGATATTTTATATACTTATCAATCTTTTCCTAAATTTTATGATGATTTATACATATTCAGTATTTTTTACAGAATATGAATATAACTCAAATTTACGAAGATATCATATACATTAAAAGATCATAAACTATTTTTAAGAAAATATTTTTTTTAAAAAAATATTTTGAAAATAATTCGTTTAAATAAATTTTCGAACAAAACAAAATATTTGTTTATTTTATATAGTTTTAGGAAATAGATACAATTCTCATTTATTTTCATCAATGAAACCTAATTTGATCACATTAAGGCTATTTAAAAACATATTATTCTAGTTTGAGGACAAAACATATATTAAGACTATTTGAAACCATTTTTATAATTTATATTTTAGTTTATTTCATAATTAATTTTAGATATTAAATTATAATATATATATATATATATATATATATATATTTGGCCTCAAATTTATATACGTCTATTATAGTAAAAATGCATTCAAATTCTTATATACTTTTAATATTTGTATTTTATAACTTTTTCATCAGAAAATAACTAAAACAATATTAATAAAATATAAAAAACTATTTTAAAATGAAGATATAAATATTAATTATAATAAATATCTTTATAAATAACTTATTATAAGATTAATAATCATTTGTAATATAATTATTAATAATAGTAATTATTTAGAATAATTTTATTTTATTAAATACCTGTGTAATTAATATCATGAAGTTGAACATGAACATGGTTTATATGAAATTTAACTTATGAAATAATACTATTAAAGTTTGTAAAGTAAAATTTATTTGTTTTCACCATCAAGTTTTACTGCATGTTAATATAGCGTGATGCCTCCCATTGAAATATGCTTGGTAATAATCAGCAAAATCCCATTATTCACTGTTAAAGAAAATCAGCAAAATCCCGTAATTGTTTCGCCATAATGCAAATACCGGATCCAAAGCTTTGACTATTGTTCTAGCTCTGAGCCATCAAACAAAGTTATACTATTCAGAATGATATTCCATTCAATTGTATCGTTGTCGAGACTTTGGGTGCATTGAGACTTTGCGCTCGAAACCTCACACTTGTATTTTAACTAAAGTTTCTTTAATTGTTGAATTACTGAATTTTTCTAATAAAAGGATTATAAATCATGGTTTCTTGAGTTTAAATAGTCAAATAGCTTTAGATGAGATTTGTACATGAACCTACCCTACTTGAGGTTCCCACAGGTGTTTTAGGTAAGACTCCATCATGTTCAAATCAAATATTATATTTGTCT